AAGAAACTCAAGCTGGGAAAAGGTAGAAGTAAACAAGGAACCAGTGACAAGTCAGTAGCCACAGAAATCTAACAGCTGTTAATAAACCAAGTCAGGCAATAATATACAGAACCAAGGAAGGTATAAACTTCCAAAATGAGGTGGCAATAATAATAATAATAATAATTATAATAACAACTGTATTAATTTTGAGCTCCCGTTGCAGTGAAGATGGACGGCTTTTAGACATCTGACTCAGATTTACAAAACTTTGCATCAGTATTACATTACATGAAACACATTTTGCAGTTCTATTGTCTGCCCATCATATTTGTCTTTTTTTTTTCTTTTTTTGTATCCTTCCCGGATTTGGGTGGTATTTTATTGGTCTGTTTAGGATAACTATTCTACAGTGAGATTGTGGTGCCGCATTTTATAATTACATTGTTGAACATAATCTTTTAAGTGTCTCACTATGAGTTGTGTGGCAGCTTCCATTTCTTTTTGAATTCTGACAAAATGATGCAGCTTATTAACTTGTCAGAGTGTGAGAAGAGAGGGGTGTTTGTGTGGCAAATATGACAGATATGCCTGTGGTACGTTGGGAAAAAATGTACTTCTAGAGGTTCTGGAAGTAGTTTTACAAAATGAGGATTTTCTTTAGTGAAGAAATTTTCACAAATGTTCACGTAAAGAGAACTGTTGCCTAGTTAGACATTGATGTGTTTTTTGAGGGGCTCCCTGTCCTGTAGGGTAGAGGGTGTATATTATGTTTTTTTAATTTTAAATTCATTACTATTTCTAAACAGGGATTACAAAAACATCACGCTAAAGGATATCTTGTTTCTTTTGGCTTTATCAGTGATGCTTTTCCCTTTCCCTCGCAAAGAAGCTTTTCCCTGTGAACTTACCCATCAGCTCCTGAAACGCCAAAGGAAGTAAAAGTTGAAACAAAGAAACTAAATATTATGTTGAATAAACTGGAATGTGATGGTTTCAAGTTCTTTATGCTGTGATGCGTTACCATCTCAACACGCTGCACCTCTTTTCTCCATAACCTTAAACCCTGCTGGTGTGCATCGAGAGAGCAGCATTAAAAAGAGGAAAATGAGACAGCAAAAAAGAAAAAAAAAAAAGAGTTAGTTACAGCTGCTTAGAATGCTATGGGAAAAGTGGTTTTAGAAAAATGGTCAAAAAACCCACTTCCACTCTATTATTACTAATTTCCCAGAGCAACTGTGGTTCTAGATCTGTTCAGATGACCAGTTCCACTCACTCTGAAGGGTGTGACTGTACTTTTTCAAGACAAGGCTATGCCAAATTATTGGATTTTTTTTTTTTCCTTCTTACTAAGTAAGTTTGGCTAGGCCACATTTACTTGGATTAGATACAAGCAAAAAAGAAAGCTCACATTGGTTCAGGAAGTTTGTTTTGTGGTTCTTTGGAAAAGAACATTCTGTCCCCTCTTTGCAAAACTAATACAAACAGTCTCTTGGCACAGACATTGTTCTTTGTGGATACCTTACTTTAAATTATCTCTCACTTATTTTGCAAGATTAAGTATCACAGTTCCTATTTCCTGGATACATTCTGCCTTGTACAATTGTGCTTTCTCTTTGTCACATCTGCAATTCAGTCTTCTAAACATTATTTGAGATCTCTTGATGAAAAATACTGAGTAATAGACATGGTGATTATAAATCGTAGGATAGTAAGTGTTGTTTATAAATTCGCACTTCTTTATGAGTGATTATATCTCACTATACAAATGATCACGTAAATATGGGCTGTGTGATTGTTGGTGTTAAGGAAAAAGAGCTGTAGAGGCACAGAGCAGCCGTAAAACATCCAGAAATGTGAGAAATTTTTATCTATTTTGTAGTCGAGGAATTGCGTGTGAGTTTTGTAGAGAAATGTCCTTTTCCCTTTTACTTCTTTAAAGTATGTCATTAAGATCCTCTGTTACTGAAGGAGTGCTGAGGACAATGCATTTCATGTGCTTATGTAGGCATTTCTCACATGTGAGAAGCTGTCTGTGCTCCTGGAATTGCAAATGAGAGCAGGGAAGGAAACATACTGTGCAAACTTAAACAGGGAGCAATCTTTAGTGGCCTCTTTTGATAATACATTTGGTGGAACCAGCTAGGGGAGGATCTTAAATGATGTTAACAGGTTTTTGGGCTGATTCTTCTAGTGACTGTAACTTCTACTGTCTTGGGCTCTTACTAGAAGGGAAATGAAAGACATTTTGTACCTTGTAGGAGGCAGTCCTACTTGTAGCAAGTAATATTTACAGAGGGATAAAAACAAAACAAATCTCTCCTGCAACAGGTTTGAAGTGAGCTGAAGGTTTACACACACATTTGGATGTAAATTTTAAGAGAGCTATATTTTTTTATTATAAAAAGAAAACACAATGAAAACCCCCAAGTTCTTGAACTTTCAATTTCCACACATTTAAATCCAAAGACTAAAGTATTTTGAATGTCATGTCTGTCTTATCTTTCCAGCAAAGCCTTTTCCTATGATTAAAAGGGCATCAATTTTTCTAATTGTTGCCAAATCCAACCCGAGCTGCCCACACAGTCATTTCACCCTTCCCTCCCATCATTGTCTGATATTTTGTTTGCAAAGTCATTATTCATTAACTGTGTTCATGTCCAGGGCTGGAAATAGTAGAATCACATTAGCAAGGAGGAGCTTGGAAAATTGACCAGTGAAATCCTTTTCTGTTTTACATTGGCTTTCAGATGAGAATCCCAAAACCTGTCACAAATTTCAGAGATAAGGAGTTTGGAAACAATGAGTGTGCTACTGTTTGGTATTTTCTTAGCAGAAGTCTTTGGTGTTCCATTCTACTGAGAAGAATTAATTTCTACATAAGAAGCTCCTGAGATCACAAGTCTGTCCTTTATTTTTATTTTTTTTTTACTTACAGAATCACATAGAATTACTAGTTTAGTTGGAAGGGACCTCTGGAGATTATCTAGTTCAACCCATCTGCCAGGACAGGGTTACCTAGAGCAGCTTACACAGGAACACATCCAGGCAGGTTTTAAATATTTCCAGAGCTGGAGGCTCCACACCCTCCCTGGGAAAAACCTGTTCCAGTGCTCTGCCACCCTCAGTCTAAAGTTCTTCCTCATGCTGAGGTGGAACTTCCTGTGTTATAGTTTGTGACCACTGCTCCTTGTCCTGTCAATGGGCACCACTGAAAAGAATCCTGCACCACCCTCTTGGCACCTGCTTTTGAGATATTTATATGTATTGATGAGATCCCCTCAGTCTCCTCTAGACTAAACAGGCCCATGTCCCACAGTCTCTCCTCATAAGAGGGATGCTCCAGATCCCTCATCATCTTGGTGGCCTCTGCTGGACCCTCTCTGGTAACTCCTTTGTCTTCCTTGAGCTTTAGAGAATTGAACACAATATTCCAGGTGTGGCCTCACCAGAGTGGAATAGAGGGGCAGGACAACCAGCTCATGGTCAACTTGTCACTCACCAAGACTCCCAGGTCCTTCTCAGCAGAGCTGCTGTCTAGTAGGTCTGTCCCCAGCCTGTGCTGGTAATTGGGTTTATTCTTCCCCAGGTGCAGCACCCTGTACTTGCCTTTGTACACACATGCACACAGATATAGTTATATGTAGGTCTGCATGCAGCTAAACATATTCCCCTGTCCCAGAGCTTTAGAGATGACTTCTATTTAGAAGTAACTTTTGAACATGCCCCTTTTTGCTCTTTGGCATGGGACCCCTTGCCCTTTTGAGACATGCACACACACAAAGGTCTCGCTGTGGTTGTTCCCAAAGGCTCTTTGGTCTGCTGCTTTTTCAGCCTTAGACCTTGGTTCCTCTGAAACCCTCTTGTACTGACCCAGGGTATTGGCAAGCACTGGATGTGCTACCAACCATCCCTGGCTCTTAGTGCTCCTCAGCACTTGCAGTGTATTTCATTAAAAAGACTGACACGTTTATCCATGTTTTTTGCAAGGGAAGAAGTGGACATGGAGGGGTAGAGGGCCTTGCCTGAGGTCAGTGAGCTGGGAAAGGCTGAGACCCGTGGCTGGGAAATGACTATGGATGGGAGGCAGCCTGTGCTACTTTCAGGTGTTATGCCTGTGTCTTGTCCTTTCTTCGACAAAGGTTTCCTGGTCAGAAAATTATTAACTGTCTATCTCCCTTTTAAATATTAAAATGTTGAAGCTTTGGCAGAAATAGGTGATTAACAGAAACCATCACTATAATCTGGTTGTATTAGTAAGCAAATTAATAAGGTTTAGTACATAAACTAACTCAGTATACTACTTTTTTCCTATATTAATATGCAACTACTAGATCAAGTCAGATTGACTAAATTGACCTATTGTCACTTGCTCTGTTACTGAATTGACTTTATTGCTGCTTCTTCCCAGTTCTGTTGCTATATCAAATCGATCTGTACTTTTAATTATTTTTAATTGGATTTATTGTAAAATGGAAAACATCACTGCCCTGTAGGGCAAGGGGAGAGGAACCTCTCATAGAAGTCACAGAATTGGGATAATGTCAAAATCAAAATGATGTCCTAAAGAGAGTAACTCATAGGAAAATTCCACTGTAAACTGGGCAGGTTTGCTAAAATTTGAAGGACTGGTCAGTGCCTGGAGTGGTGCAGCTATGAAGCTGGAAGTGACTTTTGTTACAGATAGCTAGAACAAATGGCTAAATATGACTAAAGAAATGAAGTAGAAAAGGACTAACTCTTGCATGTCAGATTGAAAATTGTTTTAGGGTGAAAGCTGACCAGTTATCCTGACTGATGTCCCTCTTAGCTATACAGAGGAGTTCTTTTTGATATTACTGGTATTTAGAAAGTTCACATGTTGACAGCAGTGAATGAAATCTAACCAGAACTATACTTCTCCCTATCATGCAGTAAGGGAAATCACATTTTAAGAAGTCAGGGATTAGCAAGTCTTAACTCATTATATAATGTTCAGTGGAATTGCAAAGCTGAACCTGTTTCTTTTCTGTTTTTTTCAGTGATTTGACCTGTTGGGCAACTGTTTTCTGAGCAACTCTGGAGACATGCCAGCCACTTGAGGTGAATCAAGCAGTGGCAGGGACAGGACCTACCTGGGCTGAAGTTTTAATCCCAGGCACGTGGCATTTGCTCAAGCAATCACTGGTGAGTTGTATATAAGCACAGCTTCTCTTTTTCTGGCTCTGTAACAACTGACATCTTGTTGCAAACTCCTAAGTTTCTGGATGCAAAGACTCACCTGCCTCACTTGTCTTTCCCAGAGAGTGACTGATGATCTTAGAGAAAATGAGTAATCCAGGTTACCTCTAATCTTAGGAAATCCTTCCTATTTGTTTGTATGTTTATGGATTATTTTCTCCTTTCCCTCCGCTCAATGAGTAACATCCTGGTGAGGCCAAACTTCAAATCTGTGCCATTTGTGTGTTATGCTAGATGGTTATCACTGTGCCTTTTTAATCAGAGGAGATTTTATACCCTCTTCCTTAGGGCTTCGTGGCGTGGTAATGCAAGCTGTGGGGTTCTGATAACAGAAGTAGTGACTGGCTGCTGTCAGCATGAGGGTGATTAAAAATGTGTGTGTGTGTGTGTGTGTGTGCTGGTTCACTTCCTTTCCAGCTGAATAGAAAATGAAACTACCCAAAGCCTTTTATGTAAGTGCATGGATTTTGGTGTTTGTTTTTGTGGGATTTTTTTTTCCTATCCAAATCTCTGCCTGGCTATGCACAGACAAACTTCATCCCCAGCTTCCTTTTGAAGATACTTTGTAAAGAAAACAGCGTGCTTGTTTTGACCTCTGAAGTGTGATCCTGTTTTCATTTCAATACTAGACATACCCTCTTGGCTAAAGATAATAGCTAGCAATTTTTTTTTTTTTTTTGAGGGGAAGGTGGTTTCTATTCAGTTTCTCCCATCTGTGATTTTCCTTGATAAAACAATGTCAATCTGCTTCTTCCAGCAGCTCAAGTGCTGTGATTCTTTGACAGAATGTGTGGAGTGCTGCCTTACACCTTGTAACACCCTGCTTTATTTAAGACTGTCGTGCTGGGCTGACTGCTGTCTTCCTGGAAGTGTGGCACCAAGGAATTATTGATGAGATGCAGCCCGGTCTGCAAAGCGCACGTTTGCTATTAAAAAAAACATATGTGCCCTCAGCTAGAGCTAATAATTTAAACATCTCTGTGGAATTTGGGGGAAGCAGCCCCTCTGTACATGGATGGGGTCCCATCAGGTGCTGAACTCTCCTGTGACTATCAGAGTTGATAGTTGGTGCCTTATGCAGAACCACTTGCAGGTGTCTTCTGGAGAAGGTGGAAGGAACCCCCTGTAAGGATGGGTGCAGGAAGGATAATACACATCTGGGGCTCTTGTCTGGCTCTTTCAGGCTCTTACCATATTGTTGAGAGTGCTTGTTGGAGTATATGGACAAAAGCCCAGAGGTCAGTGCTGTACTGAGCTATACATGCTATCTTGATTAGCAACGGAGTTGGAAAATTACTCTGGCCTGAAAAATTATGAGGGTAATTCTGGCTCTATGCTGGAGGAGGCAAAGGCAGAACAAGGAACTCAAGTACATTATTTCAAGGTCCAGTAGCCTGTTAAGCCAGGCTAAAACAAGTAGGCTTTAATTAATGGAAAGTTTGGAAAAACAAATTTGGTGCTGTTGTCACGTAGCCGTTGTATTTTTGGAAGCTGGAAGATACCTGTCCTTAAGTTTCTTTCCTTTTTATTGCTGCTGCTCTTCCTGCTTCAGTTCAAGCATAACAGTTGCTATCTTGGGAGCCACTGATGGTATATGCAGTTCTTTTCTACTGCTGGAGAACTCTGAACCCCAGGACTTAAATATTACAACAACTTTAGTGCTAACGGCAGCAGCTTAGGTGGAGAAAGGTTTTAAAATTGCAGCAATTGATTTTCAGAGTGCCTAGAAATAGAGAAAGCAAGGTAGTAATTGAAGCAATGTTTTTTTATTTAAAATCATTATTGCTTGTGTAGGTGCACTTTTTTCCACCAGTAAGGATTTTCAATTACTAGAAGTTAGAGACCACAGATTTTTCCAGAAGCTTAATAATTACAATGGAAACATGTCTGTGTCTTGGTCAGGGAGGACACAAATTTAAGACAAGTTGCTGTCTATTCTATCTGAAGTCCCAGTCTGACTCAGAGTGCCAGCATGGGTGAGAAGGCAAAAACCTTTGCTCCTCTGTAACCTGGGTGGGAAACCATCTCCAGGTGGAGAGGTTTCTTCCAAAACCCAAGAATATCAGGAAGGTACATTGAAAATTCACTGCACAAATAAAGGTTGAGTCAGCCAACGCCTGCTTATCACGTCAGGTAGTGATTGCTCTGTGATATAAATCACCTTGGGCTGGGAGTACATCCCATGTGATGGTTTGCCTGTGGCTGCACTTAAGAAATGCGTGTGAGCTCAAATGCAGGTTTGGGGTTTTATTTTTTTTCTATTTCTGAGAGCATTGTAAAGCATCGAGCTTTGAGTGCAAAGTCTGTGGAGAGTGTCCTGCACTTGGGGTTAAATGGTGCTGTGCACTTTGCTTCCAGTCCCACAGTATTGCTTTTTGCTATCTGCAAATACAGTGTGATCTCTTGAAACTGCAGTTTGAACCTCCATTTCTAACGTGAATTTTCTCATACTTTTTAAAAAAAAATTATGCTTTCTTTTATTTTTTTTGTTTGCATTTCTACTTTTTCTTAATTATAGTGTCAGAGCAGTATTATAATAGAATCATAGAATATTTTGCATTGGAGAGGAGACCTTAAAGTCCATCTAGTCCAGCCCCTCAGCAATGGGCAGACATCTTCAATTAAATCAGGTTGCTCAGAGCCCAGTCCAACCTGGCCTTGAATGTTTCCAGGGATGGGCTATCCACCACCTCTCTGGGCAACCTGTTCACCACCCTCATTTGTAAAAAACTTTCTTGTATCTTTTCTAATGCAAACTTCTTTTAGTTTAAAACCATTATCCTTGTCCTGATGCCATGGACCCTGCTAAAAGGTCTGTCCTCATCTTTCCTATAGGCTCCCTTCAAGTACCAAATCACCAAAGTGATTGGATAATATAAACATTGCAGAATCAGGTAAATTAACCTCCTGTCTCAGGTGGTTGTTGCTGGTGTGCTGAAACACACTGGCAGAAATAATAAACAATCATAAGCCCACAAAAGATTAATGGTTAGTCATCAGTGATTATTTTGAAACTTAAGAAAAACATTAGTTTAAGCAATTGATGTAAATCAAACCACTCTTTTCTTAGCGTACATTTTGCTTAGATCCACGAATCACTGAAGCTAGGTGGGTATTTCTGGTGATTTCACTACAACAAAATATAACATATTTCTATTTCTTGACAGGAGTAAATGAGAGATAATGAGATTTTGTTATCTGCTCCAATCAACTTGTGTTTTCAATTTAAAAACCAAAATTCCTAGGAACCATTTTATTTTTTTTTTTTAATCCTGTATTTCAACACACACGGTTACCCTATCTTTTAAATCCTCAGACTTGGCTGCTCAGATGGGGGATGTGCTTTACGAGAAATAGAGAAATCTGGGCATTTTGAGTACTGTCATTGCATGTGGTGTGGCTGCTGGTGCCCATGTGCCCAGCTCTGCAGGCGAAAGATCAGTGTCACAAATGAGAGCCACGCTGCTTGCCGAGTGTTGACAGCTTGTCATCACAGACACTGTTTTTTTCCTCGTGGCTTGTAGCTGAAAAGATTTAAAAATGATCATAATCTCTTTCCTCGAGTGACTTGGGAAACATTGGCATTGGTTCTTTCCAGATTCAGGGGGGGAAAAAAAAAGACACTCTGCTTTTCGTTTGTGCTGAGTTTGCAGTTATTTTGCCGTCTTGGTTGGATTTTCATAACGTATCCAAAATCATTAATCTCCTGCAGAGTGAAAGAGGATGTGAAAAAAAGAGATGGTGAGGGGAGAGGAAGGATGAAATTGTAGTTAAACAGGTTGAGCTTTTCTTGGTTTTAGGTGGGGTGTTTATTTTACTGCAGCTATTCCTGTTATGTAGGGGAGCACGTGGGGAAGAGGGGGTGACTTTGGGAACGTGTAATAGAGTGTGGCAAGAAGGATTTGTCTATCAGCTGGTTTTTCTCTCTCCTTTTAAGTGGGGCCACAGAATTTTTTTGTTTAATGCGTAAGTGTGGCCACTCTGTGCTCTGGGCATGTAAATTAAATCCAATTACATAAATACGAACCCAAGCAATCAAGTCCCCCGTAGGGTGCAGGCAGAGAGAGCACCCTTCATCCTCTGTCATCAGAGGAACAGGGCTCCCACCTTTGTTTGGAGGTTGCTGTGGTGATGAATAACCTTTGCAGAGGGTGTGTGAGAGGGAGTGTGCTCCTGCCTTGGTTCTGGCAAATAAAACAATGCTGCCGAGTGCACGGCTTCTCACTTCCTCATCCAAGCGTGTATCCTGGCAGACCCCCAAAATAACTGCTCCCCAAAATAACTTAAATAAAAACCCTGTTGTCTTAGGGCTGGTTATTGACAGGGTGTAAATCTGCTGGTCACTTCCCCACGTTGGTTTCACACCAGGTAGCAGGAGACTGGGTGGTGGCAGACCAGCAGCTTTTTTCCATTGCATGGAAGGGGAGTTGCAGGGTAGCAGATACGCCTTATTTGTGCAAGTTTGTGACATCAAGCTTTGTCTCATCACCTGGGCTTAAGGAAGAATAGTAGGTAGAGAAATAGACTGGCAAAGGAGCTCTTTAGAAGGAAAGAGGGAAATATTATCCAAGAGGGCTTTTTTTTTTTTCCCTTACCATTGCAAAATTATATTTTCTATACTGAGGAAAATTTTGTTCCTTTTTACTCTCCCGTTATCAGTAGATATTACAAAAAATTATTATTAAATTTACTGCTGCTCAAAATAGGTGTGTTTGTCATACTAAGATACAAAAATCTGATCTCAAAACTGCATTTTGATACAAAAGTGACTGTGTGAAAATTAGAATTCTGCATGAGCTTTACATGCTTTCTTCATGAAGTCCCAGAAGGACCAGTGTATTTTGTTGGTACAGGTGTCTGAGGTGTTATAAATATCTCTTCTAGATAAAGAATTGCCTTCAAGGAGATCTTGGAAACTTCATTTGTTTCCCCCTTCCTAGAAAACC